AGCATTAATCTTCATAACTCCCAACCCGGGAGTCCCGAGAAGCGATCATATCACTGGTCCTGCTCAAAATGGGACTGACCCACCCAGAATGGGGGTGCGGAAATTACTGGTAGGTGAGCCTGACTGTCATCTAAGGTCCGCTCACTTTTGGCAGACCCCGTAGGGAGCAATGTTTCAGTGGTCTCTGCTGGGTCCTAGCGCCCTGAACATAGCATGAGCGCATCTAATGTGCTTGGTGTCCCAATATCGGTTCTAGCCTCCAATATCAGGAAGGTTGGGAGGCCTGCATCTTACTGGTCCCTCTGTCTCCTCTTCTGGTCCCAACTTAGAACAAGAACAGAATATCTTATTTACACAGGCTGATTTCTAAACACATTTATTGGAGTTTAACATATTACTGTGAGTATTATTGTTGTGGAGCTGTTTTACACTCCACGGGTGGTAAATGTCCCATGCATGCACTAAAAATAAATAAATAAAAAAGACATCTCAATGGACTTTGAGTCCAAGACCCCTTGTTATTCAAGGCAGGATTTTAGCTATCTCCCCTGCAATTGGTTGCATTGCTCCCTTGTATATATGCTTGCTATATACACAATTGGTCGAAAATATCTTTAAAACTTTCAAAGTGATCATATTTGTTCATAAATGTTTTCCTATAGTTATTCTTGTTAACGTTAATATATATTTTGTTCTTTGTCTGCAGTATCAAGCTGCTGGCTGTACAGGAATTGACTGACAGAGACGCACTGGAAAAGGTATTTTTCTATATCTCTATAATATAGATATGGGATCTTGTACTGTGAGCAAAGAAGTAAATCAATAAAATAATACAGATAAACTTGCTGTTAAAACATTTTTTTTTACTGCTTTCCTGCTTTTTTACTGAAATTGAAATATCTGAGAACACTAGCAGAATTTACTATGAGGGAAACTGTCACTTTTTAGATCACTTTTAGAATACTTAAAGGAGTAGTCCACAGTCATAGAGCACTTCAGCTTGCTGAATAGCTATATGGATGTGGAGTATCCCTTTAAAATCCCAGTTAATAAAAGTGCCAATTTCATTGTGAAATTAACACTTTTATATATGCAAATAGATTCATAGAGTGTACCTGCCTTACAATATTGGCTGCAAGAATCACTCCCCTCCTGCCTGTCAGTTCTTGCAGCATCTGTCCTGTCCCTGTTCGGAGAGGGAGGCTTTGACACAGGGAGGAGACAGGAGAGAGGATTTGACACAGGGATGGGAGGGAGGACTTGACACAAATAGGGGTGGGAGGACTTGACACAGGGAGTGGAGGGAGGAGGAATGGAAGGGATGAGGGAGGATTTGAAACAGAGAGAGGAGGGGAGGGAGGCTCTGACACGGACGGGAGGGATAAAGAAGGCTTTGACACAGGGAGGGATGGGAAAAGGGCTTTGACACAGGGAGGGATTGGAAAAGGGCTTTGACACAGGGAGGGGAGGGAGGTTTTGACACAGGGAGGGGAGGTAGGTTGTAACACAGGGAGGGGAGGGGAAAGGGCTTTTTGACATAGGGAGGGAAGGTGGGATGAGACACGTAGTTGGATTGGGGAGGAGAGACACCTGAAATAGAATAGAACTGAGGCTTCTCTATGAGAAGCCTCTTATTGGACAATTCTCTGTGAAGTGAATTCCTGTGATCCCTCCCCTTATTCCTGTGAATAAGGGGAGGGATTACAAAGGCTGTAGTCATAAGAATTGCAGCTTTTACAGGCTGTTTTAGACTATACCCCCAATGAATACATACATAAAAATATACATGTATTTATTTATTGGGGGTATATCTACTAAACTGGGTTTTTTTTCTGGGGGGTTTTCAAGTGTGGACTGGACCTTTAAATATGATGAAAATATTGATGGAATTTAATAATCACTTTTCAGAACACTTTGATAAATATACCCCAAAGTGTCAGCGGTAATGTGAAGTAACGCCAAGTACTTCCAGCATAGCTACGGTATGGTGCGCAATGAGGCATATATTTTAGATGCTATCCTAGTACTCCACTCAATAGGGTAGCGCAAGTCAGGTTTCTGGAAGTTCTATGATATATATATAGATTTTTTAATGTTTCAAAGCTGTTTATTGAGCAAAAGAAGATGTTTGAGTGTTGCGAACAGTATTAATCAGGAAGTTCTGATAAACTGGAAGTAATGTATCCTTGCGTCTGACTCATTTCATCCAATTGTGGACTTTTGCCAAAGACAACTGAGTGACATGAATATATAGGTAAAATGGTGGACAAGTTAATCTCATTACCCATGGTATACCCTCACATGTTGGAATGATGAAGAGGTGGTGCCAATGAGGACAGGATATGTGTGTATTTCATGGTTACAGGTTTAGTAAGTGCAATAGATCTGACCAGATATAGATAAATGAAGTGGTCTGTGTGCAGTGGATAATGAAGTGGTCTGTGTGCAGTGCAATGGTGGATTTAAGGGGTATGGGGGGGGAGCAATATTCAAGCACCGGCCCTACTGTGTGCCCTCACTGACCAGATGGGAGATCAGAGATCTTCTTGCTGGCCCACAGGCACTTTGCTGGGCAGCTGGCAGCAAAGGGAGATAGAAGACCTGGGAGCTCTAGTCTGTAGCTCCGCCGAGTTCTCCTCTCGCAAGTTAGGAGCGCTGCCGCGGTTATCATGGCAATGCTTTGGATCTCCCGAGAGTAAACCCTAGCCCAGTAGGTGCTAAAGTTCACTCTCACCTCTGGGACCACCAGGGATTGGACAAAATGTTCCCCCTCACTGGTCAAATGTGAGAAGGGAGGGAGGATATAAAGTATATTTATTTATAATAAAAAAAACAAAAAAAGACACGTGTGTGTGTGTGTGTGTGTGTATATTTGCTTTATTAATCTGGCCCCCTACACAATAACTCCATACACATTTACACACTGCACCCTCCACACACAAACTGCCCCCCCCCCACACACACACAGACAGCCTCCCTCACACACATACACTGCACCCCTCACACACACTGCCCCACACATACACACTGCCCCTCCCCACACACAGCACCCCTCACACACACACAGCAACTCACACAAACTGTACCCCTTACACAGACACACTGCCCCTCTCACACACACATTGCACCCCTCTCTCACACACTGCACTCCTTGCGTGCACACACCCATTGCACCCCTCCCACACATACACTAAACCCCATTACACAGCACAAAAAACCCTCACACACACACATACACTACTGCTGCTATCCCCTACTAGAGGCCCTATTCCCTACTACGGCCCATATCCTGGCAAACTCCAGGTAAGTTGTCAAACTGTTCCTAAATGGTACTATGGGGAGTGGGGTTCCATGGCACTCCTGGCACCATAACCACTACAGAGAGCTGTAGTGGTTATTTTGCCTGTATTGTTCTTTTAAATAGACTAACAGTGCCCCACCCGAGATTAGGTTCTGGATCCGCCCCTGGTGCAGTGCCCTTGGCCCTTGACATTCAGTTAGTGCTACTCATACATTGGACATTGGATTCAATGTTTCTCTATGAGAATCATTTGATTGGAGGAGAAGTCAAAGAGGAGTCAGCAGGCATGAAGATGAAACAGAAGGCAGAGTGGGCGGCTGCAAGGACCGGTTCTCAGTGCTGGAAAAAAAGTTGAGTAAGGGTTTTTTTTACTGAAAATTTTTAAACACAAAAAGTACTGAGAGTTTCAGCCATGCCAATAAATGATTTATATATATATAAAAAAAAAAATATATTTCTACAACTATAGTTTTCCTTAATGGAAAAAAATGTATAAATAAAAATAAGTCTTAAACATTACTTGCATAGCCATTTACTTCCCCATAGAACTTACAAAACACTTTAACAGATTCTCTATGCTATACATGCAGAAATTCACCGTACTTCTCACAGTTTCTCTTTCCTGTTCTTGCCCTGGAGTTCAGATTTTTATATGTGGTTTTAGGGAAAGGAAATTTCACATCCATACTCACATGGGT